ATCGTGTGGGTCATGTCCGATGTTTTATATATGTCAAACTGAAAGAACGTTCAAAACCCGCATGAAGGAACACAAATAAAGTTTCCAGGATGGAAAAATAAATTCCACATATGCCACTTATTTAATCACAGAGGGACATGAGTCCAACCATGAATACAAGCCCCTCTATTTCCAGAAGAATGGTTTGAAACTCATCCTGTTGGAGGGTATGGAAATAAACAAATTAAAAACTCTAAATATCTTATGAACAGTCAAACTGAATTGAATAACTCGCCATTATTGAATCTGTTCATTTCCAGGAAAAAATAGTTAAGTATATTTACGGTACTTTCAAAAAATTTATTGATATAGTTAATGAATTCACACCTGACCTTCTCAGGTAGATTCATTCATTAGAAATCAGGCATACAAGTAAGTAATAGGTTAGAGTATAAAATGGTTGTAATTTAGAAGTAAGTTTTAGTTTATGCTTGAGAAAGCTATTATATGTATAGCGAAACACGTGTCGCGGTTTTTGTAAAACCCTTTATAGTGAAAATTGTACAATAAATTGTATTGATTAGCTGTAATATGGATTTTCATCAAGTTTGAAGTGGACTCATAAAAACGGACAAAGCTTTGGAAAAAAAATCTGTTTTGAAATCTGTTCCAAATCTGTTTTTCCGTTAACCAACTGTCGCACCCCTACGAGCGACAACCCTCGGAATTCGAAACTTGTGCGAGCTAAGGATTAACGAGGTATTACCTTTTAACGTGTTATTCCTAACACGGAAACGACCTAATAACATCTGTTTCATCGTATGAATTTTAGAGAGAATCAGTTTAAACGCCAGGATTCTCATATATCTTTGTTTTGAGCTTGTCATTCTTGCAAAAAGGTTAGATATTCATCTTTTCTTGCAGTGGATGTAAAAAGGGTATTTACATTCTCAATATTTGTTTGTGATTCTTATATAGCTTCTGGAGGTAATTTTAGATGTTCATTTAACTCGGTGGTATTGCAGAAAAATTTTATTTATTTTTTTTTTCACATAATGAACAAGTTACGAATTATTTACAATCACTTCTTGAAAAATGAATCCAAACTTGGAAGGTTTCATCCTTCACGAAAAATTAACAAATTTTCAATTTTAATAGGATGGCGACCGTTGAATATGATTTTGAAATTGGTTTTCTTCAACATTTTGACCGAATTCCCGCCAACTTGACAACCAAAAACTATTTTTTTAAGTTATCGTTTCTCAATTATTCAGTCGATTGTTGAAAGTATTCGAATCTCGAAAATGGTCGATTCCACCCATCACATTTCTGAATGTACGCCTGTTCCAGCACTATGGGTGTGTGTCATCGCTGAACTCGTCCGTGAAAGTTCTAACCAGGGCCGTATTTCCTCATCATCAACTAGCTAGGCTCTGCGAGTTCCATGGTGGTCTTGGTAGTGGACGGACGTCCACGGGGCTACTTTTTGTCTTGTGATCGTACATCGAGTGAAAGCGATTTTTTTTACAAATGTGAAGAGAGAGCCTCTTTTATTCACGCCGGTATCCAGGCCGGGGAGGTTCTGATAATCGCGTAAAGGGGGCCACGTATGTGACAAACCAAAAAATCTCGCGAAGAGGAGGCAAACTTTGAAATAACTATGTTTTTTCAAGTACAGAAAATGTGAGAAAATACTAAAGTTAGAAGGATCTCCATGGCCGCTGACGGTGTGGTACTGATGGCACCATTGATAGCCAGACAAGCCTGTCTCTATAAGCCAGAGAGCTTCGCTTGGCCGTTTTCTGTAAAGCCTTCGGCCACCAAGCAATTGTACCATAAGTGATCATTGGTCTGACAATCATCACATGAATCCAATGGATTTGTTTGGGACCTAAAGCCCAAGTTTCATCACAGAAGCCAGACTGTCTCCATAGAGACATTCTGGCTTTGTGTAAAACTTTTTCCAAGTGAGCGTTCCAGGTGAGTCTTTTATCAAGGACTATTGACAGGACAAAACTGGCCAAATGCGCCCGAGAGGGAAGCAACAGCCATATAAAGAGCGAGAGAGACAGAGCTAGGCTCCGCGTTTTTAACTGCGTTTGAGAGTCGCCTTCTAGTATATCAGTGCCTACATACAGGGCGTTCCAACGAAAACTTGAACCTCCCTGTAAGTCAAAAACCGACGTGTAATCGAAAATTTCAAAGAACACGTCAATTTTTATTGCTAGGGGGGCTAATTTTTATATGGAAATCATATCCGAAACTTCACCCCCCTGCGGTCAGCAACTACCCCCCTATTTTTTTCAGGGGGTCGAGTGATACAACATTTGAAAGGTCTTTTGTCTCTCTATTACTTCTGTAATCTCTTTCGAAATTGATTCATTCGTTATTGAGAAATAAAATGTTGAACGTTTCATTTAAAAAAAAACAGAAATATCACTGTCGCTCATTTTATTGAGGAAATCAACGAAACTAATAGCAATGGCAACACAATCAATGGATAAAGTGTTCAAAGTGACCTCCATCTAGTTCCATACAATAATACAGTCTACTTTCGAAAGCGTTCCTTACATTATGAATAAAACGTTCAACTTTCAATTTCTCAATAACGAATGGACCAATTTAGAAATAAATTACAAAAGTAATAGGGGGACAAAGATCTTTCAAATGATGTATCTCTCAACCCCCCATGCCGTTGAAAAAAATAGGAGGGGTACAATGTACAATGTTTTTGGTCTCATTTTCGTGTGGCAATGATGTGTATTAGTTTTCGGCGCACCTGGATCTAGACGAAGAAACATATAATTGGCCATGAGGAATGTCAGCTGCACGACATGGTTCCGCGCATGTTTCTTGTTGGCTTTCACAATTCACAATGTTCAGAGTGTAGGAAAGATCCTGCCCATACAGCAAAGTGCCTGGGTCTCGATTAATTCAACCGCGGCTCAACTGCATGTATGGAACCTTCGTCTAAGAGAAACAATTTCAGTATGGTCCTGCAGCTGGCTGATCGAGAGGAGGTTATGTGAGCTGGCCAACGAGATCGTGCGATTTGATCCTGTTAGACTTTTTCTTGTGTCGATGATATCTCACACAAGATTTATTTCATTCAAATTTAAATAGGAAGTAGGAAGATAGGAAGTGCTTGATGAAAGACCCATAGTCAACAATCTTTCTCATAGTTGAGCCAGCTGGATCTATGCCATGCTGGTAAACAGAACTGCAACTACGACTCTTCAAGGCGAGGCCATTAGGTTCAGGGTCACCGGTGGCTGCCCTCAAGGTAGGGTACTATCTCTCTTTCTGTGGTCGCTCCTAATGGATAGTCTGCTTGATGCCCTGGACAGAAGAAAAGTAGATCTGCAAGCTTATGCAGATAACCTTGTCATCCTGGCAAGGTCCACGTCCGGAACGGTAGCTTGTAATATCCTCCAAAGCACGTTGGATGTTGTTGACAGCTAGTGCCTGAAGTAGCAGATGTCTTTCAACCCCAGCAAAACTTCACCAGGAGAAAATTGGACGATCTAACGCCACTTGCCCTAATGGTGAGGTCATTCCATTTGGAGCGGAGGTGAAATATCCTGACATTGTCCTTGATAAAAGACTCATCTGGAACGCTCACTTGGAAAAAGTTTTACACAAAGCCAGACTGTCTCTATGGACATGTCGGAGGGTTTGTGGTAAATCTTGGGGTACAGGTCCCAAAAAAATCCATTGGATTTCCATCCATTGGAATCAGAGCAATGATCACTTATGGTGCAATTGCCTGGTGGCCGAAGGCTTTACAAAAAACGGCCCAGGCGAAGCTCTCTGGTTTGCATTGACAGGTTTGTCTGGCTATCAGTGGTGCCATCAGTACCACACCGTCACCGGCCATGGAGATCGTTCTAGATCTACCTCCTCTCAACATTTTTCTGAAGAGAAAGGCTAGATGGACTGTATACAGACTTGTGCACATTGCCAATTGCACAAATCAATTTAATGCAGAGTGCAACAGACCGTTGGCTGACACTGGAAGTTACATCAGCATTCTGGAAATGACCTCTGACTTTATCCCTCCAACTGTAACTACGAACTGCCTTATAAAGTACTATTCCCGAGTAGAGAGGACTGGATCCTTGGGGAGAAAGAAATATTAGGAGCAGATAGTTGTTGGTTCACAGATGGATCAAAAACACCTTCCGGTTCTGGTGCAGAATTCAACCTCATACCCAAGTCAATAAAAATATTCTCGCACAGTCATGCGGCGTTGAAAGCTTTTGGCTCCTACGTAGCAACGTCAAAATTGGTAGCAAATTTCCAAAAACGACTCTCCTCGATAGGAAGACTTAACACCTTGTCTCTGGTCTGGATTCCTGGCCATACTGGCCTGGAAGGCAATGGTGCTGCTGACTCCCTTGCAAAGGAGGGTACTGCAAATAGCTTCTTGGATCAGAAACTGTAATTGCCAGTGCTTTAGGCTTTGCCAAACAAATATTGAACACCTGGATGGCAAGAAGATTTATGGACTACAGCATAAATGTCTGTCGGATATAATTCAATATTCAGCATAGTATTAGCAAGGAAAATAATTGTTTTCCGGCAGACATTTACCAAAACCTACTGTGTAGGTAGTTGAGAGAGATGAATGTTTCGAAATATGTACTTATTTTCTTATACCAATCAAATATTTCATCATCATTCGATGGAACAAAAATCAGCAACAGTTCATTATTTTTACAGGCTTTGGCAGTATGTTGCTTTGGTCTCCACTACAAGAGTCATTCACATGATCTGGACACTGACTTGCTCTCAGCAGCAGCATTTGGAGGATACGTAATCATTTTAGTTGGTGAATTTGCAGGTCAGTATGAAGAGGGTACAATTTGAAATGTTACTCGTGAAATTAACACTTTGCTTTCCTGTCAATGGGAACTTTTATTTAACATATTTCCTTTCAACAAATCTAAGCGTGTTGGGGGATTTTTTTGTCACTTTTTCGACCCTAGCCCAACATTCACCTCGATTATCGTTATTCATTCATCCGTACCACGGTGAAAATATGGTATAATCTCCGAGTTCTATAAACAGTCATCGATTTTGAAGAAATTTTGGAATTCACTTCTATACAGTGTGTAAAATCCAAATGGTCTAAAGCAAATGAACTTCAAACGTTCAAGCCAGTCTCTATATACCTGCAAGTAGGTTTAATGGACTGACGCCTATCAGAAAACTACTCCCCTGGCTAATACCACGAAGGCGTGACATTCCTCTTCCAAAGTTGGAGTGAACATCACAAAATGTCACTCCATCTAGTGGACGAGGTACTAACCAACTGCATATCCGTAATTTGCCCGATTTCTCCTACTGTGTAGGTATATAGAGACTGGCTTGAACGTTTGAAGTTCCATTTGCTTTAGATTTGTTTACTGCCAGTCTTCAAGCATAGCCCATTGACTAATAAGAA